GTGTGTGTGTGTGTGTGTGTGTGTGTGTGTGTGTGTGTGTGTGTGTGCGTGCGTGCGTGCGTGCGTGTTGTTTAGGAACTACAGTGTGGTAAATGTGGAGAAGGGCCAGGTGGAGGTGAAGAGGATGTCCTGTCCCGGCAGCAGGATCAGCTGCCAGATGAAGATGGGTAACATTCTGTGGATGGCCACTGAGGTACACACCACTTGAAATCACATCCACTATTTTCATGCAAACACATGTTATTTCTGCTTCATTCCCTTTACAGAGCACTGTCTTGGGGTCTCATTTATAACTGTTGCATGCAAAGAGGAGGGACCGAACTACCGACACTCGTAGTCAGCTGTGGAGCAGCTAATAAAATTATCATCATTTATAGAAATGCAGAACAGAGCAATAATCTTCTAATACTGGGCATATATCACCAAGTAAAATCTAAGTTGTCAGTGTCTGTGAGTAAAATCGCTGCAGTGAACACGACTTTATTTATTCATTTATGGTTTATTCCATAGTGCCAGATTCCGCAAACTGAAAACAGCTACCTGATGAGAGTATCAGAGCTCACTGCAGTCACCATGGTGACTGTTCACCTATCAAACTTGGTTTAAAAAAAAATGATATCTAGGGTGGTGGATACCTCTAATTGTAGCAATCATTTTGGAAACAATCAGTCTGATTGCTGTAGACATATAAATACTACGGTGACACTCGTGATGCTGCAGGATAGATACTCTGGCACTGTTAGGACTGTGTAAATGGAAGAATTAGGAGAGAACTAGTGTTCTTCCTCTCGGTAGTCTCTGCGATTCACCGTAAAGATCCATTAATCAGCAGCTCATTTCTATGCGCCCAACACTGGTGGATGCATAGAAATGAGCTTTTGACAAAAAAAAGTCGCCATGAGGGTTCAGAAAGTCGCCAGATTTAGCGAGAAAGTCGCCAAGTTGGCAACACTGGCACCAGCTAAATATGTCCCCAGAGCAACATTGGACATAACAATAGTTCCTATCACATATAAAACCAAACAAAAATCCATCTTCATAAAAACAAGTTGTACAAATGATAATATATAAACAAGCATATTAAAGCTACTGCAGATGTAAAAACAAAAGCAGTTCACTTACCAGAGCTGCTGTTCACTATTTAAAGACAAAGTCAATCCTCCTTTCTTTGTTAATAAAGAGTTTAATCTCACGGTTGTTCAGTACATCCATGCGTTTTAGTTCCAGTAAGAAGTCCTTCTCCATTCATGGACGCCAGTGAAGACAGTCGAGCCTCCCCAGTTGTATTTCTCGAATACGTTTTAATGCGTTTGAGGCTGAAAATGTCCGCTCCACAGAGGCAGCAGATATTGGGATTGTCACCGCCCAACATATCACGCTAGCCCACTGACCAATCACGTACTTGTAGGCCAGCTAGCAGGCTCTGGCACGTCAAAGAATACGCCCAACATGTCAAACTAAAGATCTGATTGGTTGAAGACTATGACAATCAACAATATCGTCCCCATTCACTTAAACTGCAAAGGGATTCACTTGTGAGTCTGCAGGCCTCGGGCCTCTGTTCTTACCTAGAGACACAGAGGTGAACTCTGATTGGATAAAAGCTCTACTTAAAACAAGCTGCACTGGAAGCAGAGCAACTGAGGAAGACAGGAGCTGTGCAATGAGAAAATAAGATAATGGGAAAAATATTTTTATAAATTATAATACATGTAGTGTATTTAAGAAAAATTATAAAATAGCTATACATTTGTGATTCTGTTTAGGCCAGCAGAGAAGGCCTTGCAGGCCCTGACGGCCCACCACTGGCATCCACATACATAAGGTGCTTTGCATTGACCATTTATGGTTGAATGTGGGCGTGTAGAGGACGGGATGTGAGGCTGAACCAGCTGCTCACATTTACAGCTTGATTTGGGATTCATAAAAGGACATTACACACTGGCAGGAGTACACAAGGTTTTCTAAATCTGAACGTACGCAAACATTTAGTGTAGATCCTTTAAATGAGACCCCTGGTGTTTAGAGCTGCAGCTTTAGATCAGCAACAGTCTGGTCCAAGCCCAATTTAAAAACCTGAATTTCTACTTGGACATTTTTTTTTAATTATTATTATTATTTTAAAAAATGATTGCAAGCTTACTAAAGTCTTTGCAGAGCAGTAACACACATTTGAAACACAATCTCCAACATGTGCCTTCTCCTGAGTTAAGCACAGCCCATGCCATTTCTATTAAGAGGTTGTATGGTATGTGAGCAAATTAACCCCTAATTCTATTTTCTTTTTCCGTTTAAATGTAATTCTAAATCTCAATATTTTGATTAGTTATAATGTGTTGATTTATGACTTGTCAGACTGTGCAGCCCGAGTAGAGTGTGTTAATCAGTGAGCTTTACAAGTGTTTTCTGAGGTGTATTCTTTAACTTTGTACAGAGCCAAGCTAGCTGTTTCCCTCTGCTTCCAGTCTTTGTGCTAAGCTAGGCTAACCACATTCTGACT